CTTCAATTGACTCAGTGTGCAACAAAACATGGAGTAAGTCAGTGCTGTATTTTTGACTCACTGATACCCTCACTTTCAGCCCATTTTCTTTTGCTGATGATCTGGTGTTGACAGAAGGCTATTTCTAGTTCTGCTCTTTAACTGTGGCTGTAGGCTGAGATTTAAGATCCTCCTGTTTGTAGATCCATCATCTTCAGCTGAGGACTGGATAGTACAGGATGGACAAGCACCAGGGATCCTGCTGTCACGTTACTGCTGCCTGCTGAGGAGGACAGACAGTCCTACCATTTCTGTGTCTTTCAGTAGTCAGGGGGATGAACAGACTGTAGAGTTAACAGAGCACATGACAGAAAACAAGTATAGCCACTTTCAAGAACCCTCAGTGTCTAATTACTTGAAGTGTAAGTATCAAACCATAGAAGGGGTCTGGCAGACATGCATGAGTAAATCAAGATAGAACAGTGAAATCCTTTAAACTCTGCAGTCTGGCAATAGCTTGTAATCTGATTAATTTTAACTTCAGTGGAAGCAATAATCAAACTGTGATTTAAATGTCTTCCAAACAGAAACAAATATATAAGATTAAACTCTTATTATAAATTATGTAATTGTTTGCTGAATCTTTTCAGCAACGAATACGTATGTACATATATATATGAATAGATGCTATTCTGCATGTCTTAAAAAATGGAATGATAGAATGAACCGAAACAAACAAACACATGAACCAGCTGAAGTTGATATCCCAGTCAAATTCTGACTCAGATAACTAGATCTTTCCTCTCTTCCAGCTTCAGCATGACTCTGCAGTCTTTTAATATATATGAAGTATTGCATATCTGGGCTGGTTGCTCTTATGCTTGAGTTAGCCACATTGCCATAGGATATTAAATGACCAGCAGACTCAAGATAATTGTTTTTGAAAAAGTGGGTTTCCACTGTAGCGGATCCATCTATTTAAAAATCGATGTCAACAACAGCCCACAAGCATTTTCTTCCATCTATGTTCATTATAAAAGAAAGAAAGAAAGAAAGAAAGAAAGAAAGAAAGAAAGAAAGAAAGAAAGAAAGAAAGAAAGAAAGAAAGAAAGAAAGAAAGAAAGAAAGAAAGAAAGAAAGAAAGAAAGAAAGAAAGAAAGAAAGAAAGAAAGAAAGAAAGAAAGAAAGAAAGAAAGAAAGAGAGAGAGAAAGAGAGAAAGAGAGAAAGGGAGAAAGGAAGAAGAAAGAAAGAAAGGAAGAAAGGAAGAAAGGAAGAAAGGATGAAAGGAAGAAAGGAAGAAAGGAAGAAAGAAAGAAAGAGAGAAAGAAAGAAAGAAAGAGAGAAAGAAAGAAAGAAAGAAAGAAAGAGAAAGAAAGAAAGAAAGAAAGAAAGAAAGAAAGAAAGAAAGAAAGAAAGAAAGAAAGAAAGAAAGAAAGAAAGAAAGAAAGAAAGAAAGAAAGAAAGAAAGAAAGAAAGAAAGAAAGAAAGAAAGAAAGAAAGAAAGAAAGAAAGAAAGAAAGAAAGAAAGAAAGGAAGGAAGGAAGGAAGAAAGAAAGAAAGGAAGAAAGGAAGAAGGCTACTAGATTCTAGAGTCTACTAAATTCAGAATGACAGACTGGAGATGTGCAGATGTACGTCCTTGACTAATGTTGGTTGACCCCTCATTGCTCGGCAATTAAAAAAAAAAGAAACTGAGGGAAGGCCAAATCAGAAGAAGGTTAAATGAGTGACAGAGCAGAGATATGCACCAGATGGGAAATGTGATAATACTCAGTGCCTGGCAGTACACAAAGTGTTGTGCCACAGGAGGGACCTATACCAGAAGGTTTATATTGGCTAACCTGCAACAATAGTTTGAATAATCACCTCCTCTTTGTGTCTAATAGAGGAAGAAAATGTTCTCAGAAATCAAGTGTGGAGAAAATATGCGTGTGTGCAGAGGAACCAGACCTAGGAAACATCTTGTGTTCTGTCTCCTTAAAGCTTTTAAATGGATTTTTAGTAGTGTGCAGACTTCATTCTGTTTTTGCAACCAATCTGGACTCCTATATGGATTGGTTTGTGTTTTATTTTTGGTTGGGTATGAGGAACATTGAATCTTCTGTGGGTGCTACTCTGCTATCCAGGTGTTACTAAATCTTCAGTGCCAAGAAATTCCTTTGTAAAATCCGCAGCAACTGCAGAGCATATCTTCGTAAGGAAATTAAATCAGGGTATGATGAACCCAGACTCCATTTCCAAAATGATGCTAAACATTTTTTTTTTCCATACTTGTGTAAAAGTCATTCTGAGTGTTAGCGTCTTGGCAGAGCTACGGGGCTTTCAAATTCTACATTGTCAAGGGTTATATTTAGTTAGCTGGCGAATGTGACTGCCATTTATTTGAAATAAGTCAATTTATCTGGTGCTGCCTTTCCATGTATTTAATTAATTATACGTAGCTTTTGTGGTTTTATTTTGTATTTTTCCTCATGTTTACTTCTGAGTTTTGAGGCCCCCCCGGAGTGAAGTGGCATTTGCTGAAGTCATAAAAACTCTGGTTATGATTTATTACCATGACAAGTTTTCAGTCTGTTTCCAATAGTCAGATGCAGAGAAAAATAGTTTCCAATGAAGCACACCGACTAAAGGAGTAGTTGGCTGGATTGGGGCTGGTGTTGGTCTGTGCTGGATTCAACTGGTTGCTTCGTTAGGGTTTGCTTCATGCCTTTATTACTGAGTGCTGGGATGCTACTCGCCTGTCGGGGGATGCCATCACTGTTCCTGTTTTGCTGGCTGCGACCAGCCGCTGTTTTCTGCTCCTGCAGCAGCTCCTGATAATTGTTTTGATGTATTGCTGGATGGACGGGGCTTGCACTGCCCTGTAGTCCAGCTGATATAAAAAATGCCTTTAAGATCCTGCCTTTCCCATCCTAATCTACAAAGGAAACAGGAAAAAGGAACTTAAACTCCCTGTACTCAGACAGCAATGAGACTGTTCCAGCCTGCTCCGTTGCTGCAGTTCCTTGCCCGTGTCTTGTAAACACGCTGCAGTCCAGCATGCCGGAGCGGAACCACTGGTAAAATTTTGACCAGGGGAAGGATACTCCATGAGCTGCTGTAAGAACTGGATGGATATATTTTGGAAAGCATGGACCCTTTGGCACCTCTGGTTTTCTATGGATTCAGCCTGATTATTTCAGGTAAGCATTTGCTTTAATATCTACAGCTGGCCTGTCACACCCTTCTTGCTTCCCAAGCAATGGGTGGGCAAAACACACAACTCCCCACTCCTCACACTGGGAATCACTTTATTGATTAATTACCTGCGTCTGCTCCAGTATGATCACTTATCTCTGTGAGTTGTTCCCACAGCAGGCAAAGGGAGGAGGGCTGGATGCAAGGTATCAGGGAGTGTGCTCTGTATTCACAATCTGTGGCTGTCTCTTCCTAAACACTGAAGTCACTTGTTGACGCATACATTCACACTGCAAACTAGATGTTGACTCTTTCTGTGTCTTACTTTGTGGCTGTGCAGCAGGAAATGTTGGCACTTCCAGTTATTCCAGTGTTAGATTTTAGATAAGCTTTTGGTCAAGATTCTGCAGTTGGAACCTAGATGGAAGTCAGTGAACAAAAAGGCTGGAAATACCCACGTTGTTTAAGACTAATCAATAGAACTTTAAGTGCAGCTGAAGAACAATTCAGTGTTATCAGCAAATATGATTAGTTATCAAATCAGCAGCTCGTCACAAGAGACATATGCACTAAAGCAAATCTTGCTTGTAGAACCTGGAACACTAATGTTAGAGATTTGCTGCTGAAGCCATCAAAGACAGAGTACTGAGGAAGCCTGCCCCTTCCTGACCTGCTGCCAGTTGCTCAACTTTTAAGCATTACTATCTCCACCCATATTTTGATACTCTAGAGAGTTTCTTCAAGGAAATCTGCGAGGGAAAATCTGCAAAACAAAAATACAATAGCTCTGAGCTCACTCCTTAAGATGTAAAGGTGCACATAGGTCCTTCTAGTCCATCTCCAAGTAAAAAAGTTAGATGCTGTAAAACAGCATATTGAGCTGCACTGAAAACCAGAAAGTAGCATGAAAAGGCAGAAGTCCTCATTGTAGTGTAACTCACTTTGCAGTTTCAAATTTTCACAACTAGCAGCATCTTACTAGCTAAGTGACATTATGAACTAGTTTCTTTGAGATGTCACTGAATTTTTAATTACTTTGGCAGTGAGAATATGCAGGAGATTAACACCGGCAAAAAAATTAAGTGCTTAAAATCTGTTGAATGCATGTCTGTGAGTATTTTTCTTTAGCCATTGCTGCAGTAGATTGTGTATTTTTTGCTAATTCCTTTTCTCCAGCTGAAGTTTCATGACCGCTTAGTGCTCACTGATCCAAGCACGGCCACAGCCTCAGGAGGCTCAGGCGGCACTGGTGCTGCTGCCATTATGGGCAGAGAGGGAAAGAAAGCCCAGTTCACCCAGCTCTTTCCCTTTTCCGATTGCTATAGAGAGCAAGTAATTTTCTTGAAGCCACGACCACGGGAGAAGCAAAAATTTGGCTATGGAGATTAGCAGCGCAGACCGCAGGGCACGAGGAGCCGCCCGGCGCAGCCTTTTCCACAGGGGCTCTCCGGGTTAGGTGTGTATCACAGTCACACCCGTCTCAATAGATCTGTCAGCTTTCCCGCTTTTGTTTGAGAATGATATCATGTTTCCTGAGCGCGGGACGACAATGCGAGCCCGCTTTGCTCCAGATACCACAGGCGGAGCTCAGGAAGGCGGGCAGACGCTGCCCAGCAGCGGAGGTGCTGCAGCCTTCTCCCAGCGGTGTGGGCTGCCCTGGGCCTGCCTTTGTGAGGCTCCAGCTGCAAGGAACGGCCTTTGGTTTATCTCCTAACTTTAATAGCGTTACCCCATTAGCAGACACATCTGAAGGCCTGATTTGGGCGGTGATATTCAGTACCTGCTTACCAGTGCTGCAGTGCAGCCTCTGCTGAGTGCACGCCACAGAAGTGCTCGCCTATTCCTCAGCACACTTTCCTGTAGCAGGCCCACCAGTTCTGCAACAAGGAACAAATATCACAGTTTGTCTCTTGCTTGCTGAACACATCCTCAGATGGTCTGATGTTTGCTGTCGGCTTCTTGCAGCGTGCTGGCTGTCAAAAGCGATGTTGTGTGAGTGCTGCTTTAGCAAGATGGCCTCCTCTGGTAAGAGGTCTGTAGAAATCAGCAACAGTCAGAATGAGTTTCAAGCACTTTTCACTGACTATTTCTGGCTTGTCAAATCTCTCTGTTCTCAAAGCGAGAAAGAATCTTCAGTGCTACAGCTCTATGATACCAATAACGTTAAATGCAAAAGGTTGCTAAAAATACTGGATTTCTTATTTCGGGGGTAGTTTTGATTCAGAATCCATATATAGTAAAGACTAACAAGGTTACCTTAGTCTTTTAAAGGGTAGCAGTGAGACTAACAGTGCAGTTGAATTTGATGCGACCTGTGTATAATCCCTATAGGTGGCTGAGCTTTCTTTAGGATCAGTAGGTGTTATCGTGAAAATTATAGATATAATTATAAAAGTCATCATTATTATATGATTCATTTACATGTTTAGAAAACAAAGCAGCTTTAAACATACATTACCAAATTCACACAAGCACATTTATGATGGTGTATGCTCTTCAGAACTACGAAGAGATGGTAATTTCTGGTTGCAGAATAGAAAGTCCTAACAACTCTGTTTCAAGATTTGTTTCTTCTTCCTGAAGCTTGACTTAACCTATAGAAAACCTACATTTTCTCTTGTGCATATTACTGTACTCTTTCTCAAAATGTTTGTGCTCACAGAACCACAGAATGGCCCAGGTTGGAAAGGACCTCAGGGATCATGAATCTCCAACCCCCCTGCCACAGGTGGGGCCAACCTCCACATTTAAAACTAGACCAGTTTTTCCAGGGCCCCATCCAACCTGGCCTTGAACCTCCAGGGATGGGGCTCCCACAGTGTCTCTGGGCAGCCTGTTCCAGCACCTCACCACACTCATAGTAAAGAATTTCCCATAGTTAAAGGAAGGACCAGGTTTGTGTGTCTTTGGACATGCTACTGCCAGAATGAAAAAGCACCTGAACTTTGACCACAGACTCAGAGTGCTGTCTTTCTGAGCCTCTGACAGCTTAAGGGACACAAACCACATCTGAAATTTTTATCTCAGGAATTTTAGAATTACTCCGACTAGATATTAGATTGATGCCAGATATTTCAGTCACCAAAGTGATCAAATACCTTCTAATGTGAATTGCAGGAGAAAGTGGAAGAAGGGTTTTCACTCCTTGAATGTATTTCATTTGTAAGATCCAGGAACTGCACCTGCCTGTCTCTTATATCATTTATGCAGAGGATCCTGTTATCTTTTTCAGGAGCCTAAAGTTTAGACAGAATTTAGACTCTTGCTGAGATAGAGCTGCCACTGACTCCAGAAGTGATAGTTCTGTCACATGTATTATTAATGAACCTCTATGACCTGCTGACACCTTTTATCTCAGCACAGGCCCACTAAGACTGTCATTGATTACAAAATGAGTGCATCTAAATCTTGGGAGAAAGGAGAGCTGATCTTTCTTCTTGAGATTGCTGACTGTAGTTTTGCAAAGGAAAAAAGTTTAAGCAGTAACCATTATTACTGCCCCCTGACTCTGACTCTAGAAGCCAAAAACAATTTCAGGCAGCCCTGTGCACCTACTCTATGTGGACTCGTGAAAAGGTGCTGATTCTCTTCCATTGTTTCTTTTTATCCTTAGAATTTGCTTACAGTCTGTGCCCCAAGGAGAGGCATGGTATCATCTCTCAGCAAGCCTGTGTGCCAAAAGGCCTTCCAAGCAGCTGGGAGCAGTCAGGAATAGAGAGGCATTGCAGCAGGCACAAGGGAATAGCTTCTAAAAGGGTGAAATGAAATAATCCACCATCCACATCTGTTAACATGTGCCATTGCTTTAGATACAGTTTATACAGCTATATATTAGATTGTTTGGAGATCGTAAGTAAGTTGGTTGGGTAGACAACTTTTTTGCTGTAATTTCACATCTGGAACAAAAAAAATTGTAATATTTTGTTGATATTATTGATCTTATGTAAATTTAATCTGAAATGATTTTGGTGGAGAAAATGGAACACAGATGTCAGAGATGCTGACTGTAGAGCTGGTCCTTCATATCTCCACACTCCTTGTATGGAAAACCTGCTCTGTTATTGATCACGCACACTTGAATCTGCTTGGCCCAGGCCTGTCTCTTTAACACAGATTTCTACAGCAGTTATTGTGGTGGGGAAGTTGGGTAGGCACAGAACAAATACACCAAAAATGGATGCATCCACCACTTCTGTGAGATGGATGTACAGCTCCACGGCCAGCTCTCACCATGATTCACAAGGGAATACGTTACATGTACATTGTAACATATATTACAATACATACCATGTATTACTGAGCTCATCAGGGAGGATGCTGAGTCCTTTCTCACACAGATCTGACCATCCCAGAAGATCTACTTCTGGGAGAATTCCTTGCAAGCCTCATCTGCTGTATTTGTGTAATGCACCTGGAACCCAAGGGGTGAAAATTAAAAGTGTTTAAAGAAGGTTCAGCAGAAGATATTCTCTGAAGGAGCTACCCTGTGCCAGTGGGAAGATCTTACTGAACGTGCTGTTCCACTGCAGGACACTCGCAGAAAGGAAATAGCATATATCTGAAATGGAGGCTTTCCTGTGTTGAGTTTTGAATGCTGATTGTTTCTTTAGGGTGTAGATCTGACAACTGTTGTCCAGATAACATGCAGACTAAGAACATGAACTAGTAATATTAAGTGCCATAAAGTAGCAACAAACCCCCAACAGAATTCATTTTCTAACTCACCACTGGGAATGACAAGAACTCCTAGGCTCAAGAATAATATTGTCTAAATTTTGAAAGGACCTTTGAAAGACAGATACCCATTATTCAAGAGTAATGTACTTCAACCTTCTTACTTCAAAGCCAGTTTTTGCTTGTCTGTTACTTTTGTACTTTCTGTGTCACATCAGCCTGACCGATGAGGTAGCATGGTTAATTTCCCAGAGCACAAGAAGTCTCTAAAACAGTGCAGTTCCAAACAACTTCTGGCTGATATGGCTGATGATTTTCTCTTTAATTATTTTCGAGCTGTTCATTCCTGACCTGCCACTGCACAGCACTGTTAGCTTCCTGAATCATAAGCTATACTTAACACCAGCAAAATTCCCTACACAGAAAAATCAGTAAGCAGGAGCTTGAGGGTACACTACTGTAAAAGAAGAGAGTTTGCATATTCAGCAGCAAAAACCCAGAGACACTTCTAGACACTGAATCTTTTGCATGCTGTATGCTCTGATCATGCTGTGAAGATGAATTGATTGCGTATGTTCTTTTGCATATGTCATCTCACTGCATTCACACAAACCACATACATGCACAGTATATACAGCAGCCTCAAAAAACAACTCTTGCTGTTATGGACAAATTGATTCTTGCCTGCAAGTACTTTCCTGGTGGTAGTACCCATATTTGGCTGACTACAAATCAAGCTAGATTTAGCTGAGTTGCAGGCTTGCTCTGCTCCACTTTTCCCACATTCTTCATCCTTTTTCAGCATTACCTAGCACAGTGTCAGCTGGTTGCTCAAGCAGTCCCTGATGGCACTTTTTTTTTTTTTTTTCCTGCTTTAATTGCTTATGGCAAACCATCTCTAAGGAGAAGTCATGAGAAAGCTTTCATCTTCTTTCTGTGCTTAAGTTACTCACATGCAAACGTTTAGGCACTCTCAACTTGGGAACAGCAAACTCAGTTGCCCCAGCCTCTCATTATCACTTTCATCTTAAAAGATTACTCTGATAGGTTATGAAATAAATGGAATGTAGAGGAAATGATTTTGCTTCCCCTTACAAGAGGGAAGTTGCATTTCCTTCATCTTCTCCAGATGCACCCAATGGCCCAGGAGAAAACTTGAGCTTCAGTAGCTTTGGCGGCAGTTGTATTTCTTACACTTGGACTCACATCTTCCCACTACAAGCAGCAAACAATGTTCTGTCACTAGTTTCTTGTACCTTTTTCACTTCACAGTGTCTTCACTCCCAAAATAATGCCCTGTTGCTAAGAGTGAGCGGTATTGATTGAGCAATAAACCATTCCAGAGCCTCCTGTTAGCATCCACGGACATCCAGTAGGATTAATTCCACAGACAACAAAAATTATTACTGGCAAACTTGATTTTTTGGTCTTTTATGAGCTGTTTTATGAGCATCATTTCTGCATCTCTTTTTTACCCTGGTGCTGCTTCACTTAATCCTGGTGCAGATGCACTCAATCTGTTCGGGCTAACAATAGTCTCAGCACTGTTTTCCTGTTGAGGACAGAGCTGTCAGAGGAGAATTTGACTCACAGTGAGTTGTTACTCAACCTGCTGCAGTCTTTGCATCTCAGAAGAAGTTTCCAGGATATCAACAGACTATTGAGTTTATGAAGTGAATATATTATTTCAAAGCCATCCATGCCCCCAGATTGTTAACTTTTCAGATAATGAAAAAAAATAACCAAGATTTATAAGAGAAATATTGAGTGCACTGAGAAGAAAAAAAAGGAAAAAAGAAGGAAAAGAAAAAGAAAGAAAAAGAAAAAGAGAAAGAAAAAGAAAAAAGAGATATGAAAAGGAAAAGATAAAGGAAAAGGTAAAGAAAAAGGAAAAAGAGAAAGGAAAAAAAAAGAGAAAGAAAAAGAAAAAGGAAAAGAAAAAAGGAAAGAAAAAGAATCAATCCTGATTACCTTCCAAATTGGTGAATTAGTTAATAAATTTCAGTGTAATTTATTCAGTACTTCACTAGCAGTTAATTGGACACTACACTTTTTCAGTAATATTGCTAAATTATTGCCATTTGTAATCCAGAATAGATTAATTACATTATTTTAGTTTGATGTGTACTTTATACAAAAAAATAAAACCAAGGAGGATGCCAATGAATAGCCAAGTACAAAACAAGATAGGATGAGAAAGCTGCAGAGCTTTGAAACAAAACCGTGTTCATTCCAACAGAGGAAGTGCTTTGGTTTTTTTGGGTTTTTTTGGTTTTTTTTTTAGGAGACATGAAAGAGAGGAGTGCTGGTGACTTGACAGTCTGATATACATTTCCACATAAATTTCACATTCCAATCTCAAAAAAATTAAGTTCTGTGGTTAGTATTATAATGAAAGTAAGAAACTGTTTTGCTCTCAGTGTAACACAAAACCCCAAGCACAGACTGCAGCACAGCACTGTGTGGGTTATACTCACATTCTCAGGTAGCTCCTAGCAGGCAGTTCAAATTATATCATATTTCTTTCTTCTCACTAAATCTGATGAAGAAAAGGATGAAATTTATTGAATAAAACTTTCCTCCTTTCTGCCCTCACTTCCCCTTTTATTTAAGTAATACTCTGAAAGAATTAATGTCTCCACTCATTTCCTACCACAGCTCTTCTTTTTCCTTTGTTATACTCCAGATGCAAAGGGAAGGACTTCCATCCTATAGTCACATCAAGCAATTAACAGTAAAGCTCTCTAAATGTAAGGAAATGAAATACTGTAATAGCTAAACCACTTCTTCTTTCCACTACTACTCAGCATTAATTAACAGCTAAAACAACCACTCAGAACTCTACATTCTTAATGAACTCTGGAAATATGGGCTGGTTAATAAATACTTGTTTGGGGGCAGTGGTTTATTACTATCCTTTGCCATGATGAAGCTGACTACTCTTGCTGTGGTGGAGGATTATGAGCTACATCATGGGATTAAACCATTTCCCAGTTAAGAGGGAAATTTGTAAAGGCATCATGTTAGACAGCAATTGTCTTGAATCTTTCCATGATTTCTTGGGGACCAGACAAGTGCTAAGTATAGATCACAAGATATTTAGGCAGCGACTTTCTGAGATGCAAGGACAAAACCTAATAATTTTCCATTCTCATGGTTCTTACTGTCTGCATTAATCTACATCAATGAGCTGTCTCACCTAGAGATTGCCCAATGCTGTTTCCAGATGATTTTTCCAGCACCAATTCTGATTTGAGAAAGCAATAATTCAAACTTTTACAGACCGTCTTGTTCTTTGAGCATGGGATGTGTTCCAGGGAATTTCTCAGAAGTGTTTCTTCTGCCCTTATGAATTGAGTTTTACTGGTGCAACACAGCACTGAAAACATGGTGACTGGCTGAATGAATGGCCTTTGGTCAGCTCAGCACTGCCAAATAATGTTTAACACAAGAGAGAGCACAGTCCTGTAGTTCAGGGTGGGACAAAAGGTCTACCTCCAAGTGTTTCGCTGTACAGATTTCAGTGGACACACTATGAGTTAAACTTACTGCTTTAGAGGATGCTGTTTAGATGGTGCCATTTTCTCCATGCCAGGAGGACACAAAGCCCTGTGCAGCAATGAGCCTGTGTCAGAAATATCAGGCAGCAAATTCTCTCCCAGTTTCTACATCAGCCTTCTTCTCTCTTCTGCAAATCTAATTGCACACACAGCAAATTGCCTTCCTGATAAGGTCAGTCCCCCAAGGACTGTGGCAGGAGTCAAAGGACTTTTCCAAGGAAACACAGAGTATTGTCACTGACACAGGGACAGGCTGTTTCCTGTCTCTATTTGTTGTACTTTTCTCAAAAAAGTGAAATCCTGTTGTCCTTAATTGGTCCCTGCATGTTCAAAGTCTTCATTAATACCAAGGGTGGGACCTGCCGTTTTTGCCACCAGGTAATGAAAATCCATTCTCACTCAGCAAGGGCAGCTGTGTTAGCCCAAGATGCATTGCCAAGAAGATATGCTGTAGGAAGCACAAAGCATAAAGCACATGCAGATTTTACACTTTTCTGATTGGCTGTTTTGTTTTTCCGTAATCACTAACTCCCAGTGGAGACAAAGCCTTCCTGTCACCTCTGAGGCCTGTAGCTGTCTTCAGAGGGCCAGTCCTGCCAGGTCCTTGAGTTCACAAGTGAAACACCCTCAGTTAGACTTGCTGCTAGAGAGCTGGTTTTTGAGATACATTAAAGCCTAACTTTTTCTTAGTGCAGAACTCACCAGGATGTATTTTAATTTCTGCTTGCAACATACCTCAGCTGTGAAACTTTAAGCTTATATCTGGGGAATGAATCAGTCAGTGCTTATGCTTATACCCTTTTAGCCACAGAAGGGTCTTCTGGAGAAAACTCCAGAACATCTGCCTTGTTCTGTCAGTGTCTTGCGTTTGAGTTGCCCTGCAGTGTGTGATATGACAAGCCACCTCTGCTTAGACAGTTCATCAAAAGACTATCCACTGGTGGCTGGGTTCATATTCCTCTGGAATAGTCACAGGTATAGATGAGCAATAGGCCTGTGACATGCTTGTTCAATACCTTGATTTACACGATTTATATCACTGCAGAGAAAAAAAACATTATGCAGCAAATACCCTGAATCTAATATGATATTTCTTTGCTATATCATATATAGGGACATAAGGTAACACAAAAACTAGGCCTCAAAACTCAGACTTCTCCTGCCACTTTTTCTCAGCAGATGGAGAGACTGAGATGCAGAGAAAGAAGAGTTACTATTTTCACCTTTCAATCTGGACTTTCCCATGTAACATGCAGTTACAGTACGTGCAGTTCAACTTTTAGGCCATTGCTCCTTGTCCTATCACTATGCACCACCAAGAAGAGCTAGGCCTCATTGGTTTGCTTCCCACCTCTCTTTAGATATCTATAAACATTTTTCAACTCCCCACTCAGTCTTCCTTTCTCCAGGTTGAACAGACAGACCTAGGTTGCTCTGTCTTTCTTTATACAGGAGATGCTCCAAGCCCTTCATCATCTTTGTGACTCTTTGCTGGACTTCTTTGAGGAAATCTCTGTCTTTTTTGAACTAGGGAGCCCAGAGCTGTATACAGTATTCTAAACGTGGCCTTTATAAACAGGACAGAGTACATGGGGAGGATGTACTTGCACAGTAAGATGAACTGATTTTACCGATCTCCACCTTTATGCAGTACTTACTTTAAGGCCTGCTGCATCCTCTCCACAAGGTTTTGTTTCTCCATGGTGTGATCAAGAACTACCTGGGCTGGCACAGCACTGGGCTGGATGTAGTGAAGTCACTAATGACTCCTCCATCCCCAGCATGGGGAGCAGGGACAGGCACTCTCCCTGGCCTTGTGCACCAGCAGGGTGCATGCAGCCTGCAGCAAGCACACAGACCTTCTGGCCCCCTGTATCTCAGGCTGCACTCACTTTTTTCAGTGAAGAAAACTTTGGAAGCAGAACGGCTCTAAATATTGGGTCTGTCTGAAGAGTACAAAGGATGCTTGTATCCAGAGCAGGAAAATTATATAGAAGTGATGAATAAAATAATCAATTATTCTTCCTGCTTCAGCTAGAAGAAAAAAATGTTATTTTCCCTTCTCCTTACCGTCGATTTAAAAAATGAACCGAAATGCTTATTATTTGCAGAGTTGACTATAGGAGACCTGTGTTTCCCTGCTACCACACACATTTGAAAATTAAATCTGTAGCACCCTGTGAGAGGTTCAGATCATGACGACTGTTGTGAAAGAACTTCCAGCTTCATCTATTTCTAGTGGTTCTGTTTATAAAATATGCTTGTATTCCTGTTGATTAATAAGATACTCTAAAATAATTGATCCGTTTCTGCCACGGACTTGTTCTTTGAGTGCCATGGTTCCTGCTGCTTACTGTAAGTCCATTGACAGGTTACCATGTGAATAGTTATGGAATCACTAACCCTAACACATAAAATAACTGAAAAAATATTCCAAGTGCTCAAAATACTGCTAACTACTAAATCTAAAGACATATTCACCTCATGTCAATTCACACATATTAAATACATGTCAAGGACATAAAAGAAATTATCAAAGTGTCAGGCAACTCTTAATGGCAAAGAACCACACTCAAGGCACTGCTGTCCAAGTATCCACAGAGCAACGTGCTAGGATTTCCTTGGGCTTCTGCAACAGCTCAAAGAAGTAATGAAGTCTGGGAGGTTTATTTCTTCCTCCAAGAAGAGCAAAGTCCATCTGTTCTTCACATATTAAATATGTTTTAAAGTCCTACTAGAACAATTAACCACAGAATCACAGAATACTTGAGGTTGGAAGGGATCACTTGGGATTATCTAGTCCAGTGCCCCTACATCAAGCAGGGAGCACACTGCCCAGGATCACATCTAATCAGATTGGAGTATCTCCAGAGAAGGAGACACCAAAGCCTCTCTGAGCAGTCTGTTTCAGTGCTCTGTCGCCCTCAGAGTAAACTTCTTCATTTGTCTGTGGAATTTCTTATGTTCCAGTTTGTGCCTGTTGCCCCTTGTTCTGCCACCGGGCACCACTGAAAAGAACCTGGCCCACACACTTGACACCTTCTCTTTAGATATTCATAGCATAGGCTAAGCAGGCCCAGCTCTCTGTTCTGGAGAATCTCCAGCCTCTTTATCATCTTTATAGCTCTCCGCTGGACTTGCTCTAGGATCTCCATGTATTTCTTGTACTGGAGAACCCACAATGGGACACAGCACTCTGCCACTCACCAGGGCAGAGTAAAGGGAGAAGATTGCTTCCCTCGATCTGCTGGTCACAATTACTTTACTGCATTCCAAGATACCACTGGCTTTCTTGGTCTCAAGGGCAGACTGCTGGCTTGTAGTCAACCGGCTGTCCAACAGGACTCCCAGGTTCCTCACTGCAGTGGTGCTTTGCAGTAGATCAGCCCCCATACTACTGGTATGAGGTTATTCCTTCTAAATGCAGGACCCTGCACTTGTCTTCGTTAAACTTCACGATGTTCTTTGCCTGTTGAGGTCTCTCTCAGTGCAATGGCAGAGCAATTCTCTGGTTTGTCAGCCATTCCACCCAGTTTGGCAACATCAGCGAAGTTGCTGAGAGTGAACTGTGTGCCTAATCTGTCGCTTTTTATTTTGCTGTAAAGCTGCATAAGACCAAGCAAGAAAGAAAGCCTGAGGATAGGGTGAAATAGCTTCTTTGGTGATCTGACAAGCCAAATACTCAAAATCTGCTGAAAATTTTTTCCACTTGCTGTTTTTTCCCCAGGTAAAGTGGAAGCAGCACTGGACCTCATCCTTATCAATTCATTCCCTCTGGTGGGCAACTCAGAGACATCACTTATCTGTATCACTTCAAAGTGGCGCTCCCGTGAATCTATCACAATTGACCGAGACCAGGAGGATGTGACAAACCAGCATCGAGAGCCTCTGGAGGTCAGTGAAGATTCAAAGAGAGCCACAGCCAAGATGGTGATGTGGAAAAGGGAAAAGGCCAGCGAGACCATTGGAGCATACTACTGTGAAGGGAAGCTGAAGGATGAGGTGACAAGGATACACACCATGAAGATGCCACGGGGAGGTACTGTGTGAGGATCAAAACTGAATTCTGCATGTCATTGCATGTATGCTAGCAGTCATCCCTATTTCACGGATGTGGTCACAAAAGTTGGCTCCACAGCAGGCAAGGCAGCCTGGAGTCAGCTAAAATAGACTGGGCTCAATTCCGTGTTTTTTTTTAAGTGTAGGGTCAACTGCTTGATACTAGCTGCTAGTCATTTCCTGATGGAAGCCGATCGGATGTCTGCTGGTACTCTACCTGTATTTGGCTGCTGCTAGGAATAAAATTAGGTGGCAGTGGCCTCAATGATGCCATAAAACATTACAAATGGAAACTCCTTCACTGTGAGACTCCTTCACAGGTCTAGATCTATACAGGCAAACATTGCTATCCTTGTTTTTTAAAAGGCAACCTGAGCCTGTAAAATAACTGCCTATGGTCCAGGGAAGCCATGTCAGCCAATTTTGATTTGCGTATTCTCTGTCAGTATAGAAAAGATAAACATCACAACAGTGGAAAGAAACCCAGAGAATTTCTTCTGAATCTAAGAAAATCATTCACAAAAGTCCACTATACATTTAGACAATTTTGTCCAGTTTTCTGCAGCAAATCATGTTTTCAAAATTTCAGCAGTTTGTCACAATTTACAGCTTTGCTGTAACATTTTACACCATGGCAGCTAGGCTGTGCAGGCACTTTCACACTTTTGTCTTTGTATGTTTTTCTAAGAAGAAATACCTTTATTGGTATCGCTCATAATTATACAGCTAACCTAGAAAA